ACTCATTACCATAAGGAATTTCCCTTTTTTTATTCACATCCAACCTGATGGAAGTAGCTCTGATGTAACACTCCCATCTCTGCATCTCTATTTGTCTCCTTTGTCTTTCACTTCACCCATCTGATGAAGTGAGTTGCAGCTCACGAAAGCTTATGCCATAATAAAATTGTTGTCTCTCTAATTGATATGGCACTGTTTTCCCACAAAATGCAGGGTGATTCTTAAGTTTTAGGGCCTTTATGGCACAGGGGCACACTCAGACAGAAAGGAAAGGACTCAAGAGAGGGAAAAAGTTTAACAGCTAGACAAGCAAAATCTTCTTCTTGCAACTCTGAGCAGCTTTTGACTGGCCCTGACCCCAAGTCTTTCAGTATGTGCTTGTTTTCCACTTGTCTTACCACATCCTTATCCGTTCAACCCACAATCAAGCTCCTTCCCAATGGCCACCCTCTTAACTCGTTCTGTTTAAATTACCAGAAGGAAACCACTCAGTGTACGAACTAGATGTCTCATACACAAGGCTTACGGAATGCTCATCAATTTCAATAGGAACTGATACTCTATACGTGGAACACAATACAAGCTTGATTTAAAAGGTGGCCCCCATTTACCTTCAACTCATACATACAGTGCATGCTAGTGAAGATACACATTACCACAAAAATTATGTGGATACAAGTGGGTACTAAGGGTATATCTACACTGTTGACCTGGGTATGTACTGAGGCAGCTAACCAATGCTGTCATGGCTTTCCTGCTATTGGCACCTGAGCTAGTTAGATTAAAGCTATCTCCGGTCTGTCTACAGACAGGGCAATTATCCCATTCATTGCTGTGTGGATTTTATCCAGTTGGAGCCCTAGACACACCAACCCCCATGTACATTACTTGAGAGTCCTGTGAGGTCAGTTCCCATTTATTACAATAGAACCCCTATTTATATCTAATTAGTGATCAAGGAGTTCAGAAAATTTAACATCTCACACTGAAAATGGTACGGTGCTCATGTTGCAGTATGGTTCTCAGCACCACTTACTTCTTGTCCTCTGAGCTGCCAAAAAGCGATTCCTGATGCACTGAGCCATTAGACTATGTAGTGACAGCAACTCAGTTTTCAGCCACTAAAATGTGATTTTTTTCGCTCGTCACATAAAGGGCTGTGTAATGCTGTTTGTAAGACTAGTGTTCACACACATCATGGTTCTACAGTATTTAAACCACTGATGGATGGGAGTGGACATCACAGTCACGTTATTCTAATTCAAGGGTGGCAGTAATTTTTGATGGGGGGGCACTCCAAGAATTGAGTAAGTGGTTTAGGGCCACTCTCTTCCATGATATTAATGGAGCGGGTACAGTGTCTAGGATGGAGAAGGGAGCTTGGGGTGTGGGACTGAGGTGTGGGATCTCTGAGGGAGTTTGGGTGGAGGAGGGGACTGTGACCTAGGACAGCAAACTGGGGTGTAGGATGGGGTGCAGAGTCTGGGAGGGGAGTGTGACCTGGGATAGAAGGGTGGGGGGTCGTGTTGTGACCTAGGACAGAGGATTGGGATTCAGGGTCTGGGAGGAGTATGGGAGCAAGAGAGGACTCTGGCCTGGGGCAGGAGTGCAGGAGGTGTTGCAGGGTCTGCAAGGGCATTGTAACCTGGGGCAGGAATGAAGGCGGGCCTGCAGGGATTTGGGTTGTGACCAGGAACAGCAGATTGGGGTGCAAGGTCTGGAAGGGAGTTGTGACCTGAGGAGGGGTGTAGTATCTGGGAAGTGGTCTGGGGGCTGTAGCAAGGCTGCAGAAAGTTTGGATTACATGGGGTAGGGGTGCAGGAGTAGGGACAGAGGGTTGGGGGAAGGAGAGGCTCAGATGCCAGAGGCTTACTCTGGCTGGGAGACACTTACCTGGGCAGCTTCGAGCCAGCAGCTCAGCAGGTTCCTTAGCCAGGGTCCCTGCCTTCCATGCCCCTGCACTGCTCACATCTACACTACCATAATAATGAAATAATGTTGAGCTGGAAGACTTCTTACTCCGGCTCATAGTAACCCTCATTTCATGAGGAGTAAGAGAAGCCGGGGGAAGAGAGCTTTTCCTTCGACTTCCTGCTATGTAGACAGCGCCAAAAGCCAAATTAAGCTATTTCGACTTCAGCTGCACAATTGATGTAGTTGAAGTTGTGTAGCTTAATTTGACTTTAGCCCTGCTGTGTAGATGTACCCAAAGTGAGAGGAGACTGTATCCCTCTAAGTTTTTCATTATTTTCCTGGAGACTAGCCTGGGATCCGTTTAACGTTCAAACTCTCTGAGCTAAATGGATACAGAGTTTCTTTAACTACAGACTAATATATTACATTCTTGGGGGAGTGTAATTTGCTGCAACAAAACACACTAGGCCCTGATCCAGCAATCACTTCTACCCAGGCTGACCCCAGTGCCTATGCAGAGTCCCACAGAAATCAGTGGGGTGAAAAGAGCCACCTGTGGTGATTCCATTGAAGGATGAGGGATAAAATAATCATTTCTGTTTCTGTTCCACAGTTTTTAATCAGAGCGAAACCAAACAAAGCTGAGATTAAATGGTTTCTTAATGTGCACTGAGCTTTCTGTTGATGTAAACTGAGCAATTCTCACAGTACAAGGAAAGTGACAGATTGGCACATCATTGAGTAGGTGCTATAGAGAACCACACAATTCTTAGAAGTAAAGATTCCTTTTTTTTCCTCAAAAAAAATATCCCACTTAAATCACATTTTTTCTCTATACTGTATATATAGACACAATTTCCCAGTAAACATTTACAAGATATGTTTGCAACATTGAAAAGATATATCTCCATTTGCATAAAGATTCACACTCACTGAATTCAGTATACAAGGACACACAGTAATGTACAGTCAATAGAATAAATAAATACTTTTTTGTTAGAAGTTGTTCAAAAACACTGCTATTGATGGGCCCAAAGACACACTCACATAATACAGATAGCAGATATTTGTGCAGGGTTCTCAGCTATCTGTTTAAAAAAAAAAAAAAAAAAAAAAGCCTGAAATCTAGGGTCATCAGAGTTGTTGCTTGATAAAATACTACTATTAATGCCTACCTAACGGTTATTATTCCTTAGCTTTGCTATGAGAAGGTGTCACTTTGACCCCTTCCCATTTAGAACAAGGTTACTCAGATTATTTATCCATTCTAACATCTGAAAAGCGACATGGTCTAGAATCAGGAACAGGTCGCCAGAGCAGGCGTGAGGTTTGCACTCTGCTTGAGGACAAGAGGAGAGATTCATATTTGAATCTGAAGGTTAAAAGCCCAGCTTCTTCGGTTTCAGATGCTAGTGCAAACTGTTTTCTCCAGTAAATGAAGCTCTTTTTGTAGTGAAATATGGCAGATTGGCTCTACCCTGGGCAGGAAATTGCTTCAAAGGATTTCCTACCTCATATGGGTGAAGCACAAATAGCCTGCAAAATGAATAATTAGAGAAGACAGATTTCCTCTGCTTTCCCCTGGCCCTGTATTCTTCTCCAGCCAAAGAGGTCAGCAGGCACTGCCTTTCCCTGGTTTGTAATTACATACTCTGCATCCCCATAGTTCTGAAAGATGAACTGCTTTGTGCACATGGCTGCACCCTGACTCACTGTATTGTGCAAGTGGATTCTGGAGCACGCACTGTTTTCTTCTGGACTTCTTCTGCAAGCAACATCTGAGACACACCACACATAAACACAAACACCATCAGTACAAAGGAGGCTTCTGCAGGAGGAGGGACAGCGGGGTCCCTTTCCCCAGCTGGTGAACACCACTCCCTCAGTGCAGGGGGCTCTGGCCTGGCCCTGCTCAGGGAGCTGAGCGAAGGAAGAGAGAACACATTGATCACACATTGTATGGCTGGCAAACAGATTTTTGCAGTACAATGAGAGAAAGTCCCCTTGAAAGAGCTACAGCAAAGCATTTTCCCAGCTGCTAGAAGCAATCCTGTACTGGCTTATCCAGGGTAATGACCTTCCTGGGCATGTAGGAACTAAGCCACTAACACCCACCTTTTCTCTCTTTGACTTTTTTTTTACCTGAGTTGAAAAATAATCCCAAACTCTTGGCCGCACTAAACTCACCAATTACACAGCAGCTCAGCTCTCCCGCTGCACATGGGCAGGCCAAGGGGCTACAGGCCACAGGTCTAGTGGTCCAAAAGACCATCCCACTGCAGGGGAGCTGCCCTGGAATTGCCCAGAGCAGAGGACACTAAGCTTGGTGTGTTCTCCACATGGGCCGGATCCAAGCCCACTGATGACCACTTGGAGCCTTTCCATTGACGCCAATGGGCTGAGGATTGGGCCCCACAAGCACAAGAGACCCCGCTGGGGACAAAACCCTGAATTTGCAAAACAGCTCAAGGCCGGATTTTCCAAGTGCTCAGGACCCACAACTGGAACCAGACTTGTCAGTACAGCTCAGCTCTGATTTTGGCACCTAACTACATGGCATCCGCTGGTTGTAGCTCCACATGCTCTGGCCACAGGCTGAGGAGCAAACTGTAGTAAAGCCTGGGGAAGGGAAGGAAAACAAAAACCCAGAGTAGGAAGAGGGTCTGTCAGATCAGAGTATCTCCTCTGAAGGCACAGCCGCACTCTTCTCCCACACAGCAGAATACTGAGACCCATCTGGTTCTTACTAGCTTGAGAGGGGTGCAGCCTGGCTTTCCTGTCGCAGGGGAAGCTGCTTCCTGGGAGATGCAGACCCCAGGGCCAGCAGAAGTGCAGCCAGCCTGTAGCCCAGCAGCCTTGAGAAAGCTTTGTCTGGAAAGTGCTCTTGCTCAAGATGGAAACCATAGCAGCAGGACTACCCTCAAAGCAAAGCAAGGCAGGGAAACATCTGCTCAGGGCTGGCTTCCAAAGTCAAAAGGTTTGAAAAAAGAAATAAAATGAAGGTTTACGGATCTTTGGTCAATCACTGAAAACGAATGCTGAGTGGAGAACTAAACCAGGGGATCCTTCCCCTAATGCCCAAGCCCAACAGCGTAAGAGCAGATATGAGGGTACTTTCACCTTAGGGAGCAGCATGTGTCGAACTACCAAGATTTTTTGTCACAGTTATGGCACTTTAAGGAGATGGGGCAGGAAGTATTGGACGGGAGTTCATGACGTCTCGCCGAACACTTCTCCCTTCCCAGGCCTTTCATTTATTCTCAATCAGCGTCTGCACTTTGTACACCAGGTCCCGGGCCAGCTTCAGGAGCTGTTTAGTGTTGTGCCGCTCAGCCATTTCTGGAACATGGAAAGAAACAGAATTAACAAACGATGGCCAAATAGCTTCCAGTCCTGAGAGAGGCAGGAGCCCACCAATGGTCTGCATCTCTCTCCCCAGGCCATGTTTGGGGAAGGAGTGAAAGCTGTTCAGCGCAGTTGTGGGCCTCTAATCTTGGCTGTGTCCAGAAGCTCCTCATTAAATACTGATGAGAATCATCATTAGCTAAAGAATCCTTGTAGAGACCAGTCCCCACAAGGGGATGTAACCATACACGTAGTGGAGAATCTGCGGCATGGAGCAGTGAAGCTACTGCCCTGAAGCCCCAGAGGGAAGCGGAATCCGGAGTCAGGATTAGAACTGACAAAGCGCTGGCTCACACCTCTGTGCTCAAGACATCAGCCTGGCGCCCTCTCGTGAGCGATACTGTCCCATTCTGTTTCAACATACACTGGTTATCAGGTGAGACTAACACTACCAAACCACGAATACTGGCTGACAAAGGCTGAGTGATTGCCAGTGGCTCTGCCCAACAAAATTCAGGACATACCATTGAAGAACTTGATGATATCTGTAAAATCCATGTTATTTTCCAAAATGATGTCCCGGTACATTTCCACCAAGGCCAGGGCTATGAAGAGGACATAGTGTGAAGAGGAAACGCGTGCAGCTGCCCAGATAGTCTCCCAGACAGAGAAAACATCATCATATACCAATTCTGTAACAGAGAGAACAACAGCGGCTATGCTAGGGCATCATTTGGGATGGGTTCAGGACTTAGAATGGGTCTATGGAGAATGCCCAGCAACAATGGAGGGTCCCTTCTCTGGAAGGTTTTAAAGGGGAATTGGATTCAGACTCAGGGTTAACTTATATGGAAAGTTGTTCTCATCAATGGAAAGTAATCAGACTCCTGCTAGGAAGTAAGGACTAAAATGTAGCCGACTCGGATCTCCCACCAGTATAATAAGGGGAAACCTTACTAGCTGTTGGAGTTAGATGGGTGGATGTGGCAGAACATTCAGTCCCGGTGCAAAAGATTTAAAGGAGAAAAGCAGAACAAGCACCAACATTAGGATTTAGCATCCAGCCAAATTCAAATTAGAAATATGGCAGCATTTTTTTCACACTGCGGGTGATTAACTGCTGTAACAAGCTCTCAAGAGAAGTAGCAGGTTTTCCATCTCTTGATGTCTTCCAACTTACACTGGCTGCCTTCCTGAGAGCTGCTTTTTCCAAACACAAGTTATAGGGCTCAATACAGAGATAACTTGTGAAATTCTCTGCCCTGTGTTATCCAGGAGGTCAGACGAGATGATCTAATGGTCCTATCCGGCCTTAAAGTATGTGACTCTATAAATTATTCCACTTTCCTGTGCCCAGATATTTGTTATCCACATTATGGCCTCTACATCTAATATACATTATTTTCCTATTATTGCTGCTCCAACATGAGAATACTGGGAAGTAGCATTCTGTGAAGGAATTACTCTCAAGTAAGGGATGGCCCCACCGCAGCTATCCGCAAGCTTAGTGTTAGCACTGCTCACATAACTCGCTCACTAGCAATCTGACATTCCAAACCCACAGCCTGCCTACTCTGGAAATCTCCCACTGGGCTGGCTTTTGATGCCACTTTGTGTTGTGACTTACGGGGACTAGGATGAAGCCAGATTATTATCTCTTCCACGTGGGAGGGAGGATGTCCGAGGGGTGAGAGGGGAGGCCATTAGATGAGAATGTCAGAGAGAGCCACAGCTGCAACTTATTTTTTAAAAAGAAGAATGAATTGTTGTTCCCCTAGGTTGAAAAGCTTTGAGACCGGGGGTGTTTTGCAAATATCAACCCTGTAATGACATCTGCTAATGTCACTCTGGCTTCACCATCACAAAGCCACTGAAATTAGACCCTGCTCTTCCTCCAAATGGATGGAGAGCTAGCCACGCCATATGTCAGTGGTATGCCACCACCAGTGAACCGTGGCCCAGCTGCTCCTCCATCCATCCATCGGGTGGCTGGGCCAAATGGTGCAGCAAGCCGCAAGATGGGGAGTCTGTGCAATGGAGTGCAGCCCAGCCACTGAGAGCTTGACTCCTGGCAGCTTATATGCTAGATGGGTCGGAGGGAGGGCAGCCTCCCCAGACGAGCCTCCTGTGGGGCACAAGCAAAGACTGGGACAGGATCCCTGAATTTGTTCCTTTCCTTGCCCCCAGGAATATCTGAATCGATGCCAGGCTATGTCTATACTGTGCCCATTTTGTGCAAAAAACCATGCAAATGAGGCAAAACATAATTTGCATAATTAATTAGGCTCCATTTTTGCGCAAGAGGCTTTTGCACAAAAAGAAGCCATCTACATGGCTAAAATCCCCCTCTTGCGCTCTTGTGCAAAAGCCTCTTGCACAAAAATGGAGCCTCATTAATTATGCAAATGAGGCACAGCAATATTCCACACTTCGCCTCATTTGCATATTTTTTGCACAAAATGAGGGCAGTGTAGACATAGCCCCCGTTTTTAAGATACAGGCACCCTGGGACATTCCTGTTGTGCTGAGTTCAGTAGAGGTCTTGAGGCCATGGCTGGCTCACACCACTCACCTCGCTTGAAGTCCAGGAGAAACCATCGATAACAGAAGTAGAAATGGGTGTAGTCCCCATTCTGGTGCATCAGCTCAAAGAGTTCAGAGTCTAAGATCTGTCCAAGAAAAGCAAAGGGAACCCAGGAACCAGTTAGTGCACAAGAGGCACCAGCTACTCCTCCCATCCAGCCTTTTGGCCCTGCCCTCTGCCCTGCCCATGCTCCATCAAGCTCCTCTGTAGCTGTAACACTCCCTCCTGTATGGGGCTCCCCACAGGTGCCTCCAGTGCCCTCCCCAAACACCAAGGGAGCTGCCTCCAGAACCCAGGATTCCCCCACACCCTCCACCTACGAGCCCTTCAACACAGCAGCTGAATGAAAAAAACCTTCCTTTGGCCGGCCTGAGAAGCCATTGCCCTCCCGCCATGAGCCCAGCCCAGTACCTGGATCAGTGATCGCATGTTAGCGAAGTGGGTGTCCATGGCCCCCCCATGTGGGAAATTCTGGTTCATCCTTTTCATGAGCTCAGTGAAGCAGCTGAAAGCGAGCGCCTCTGCATGGGACCAGAGAGAGACACACACACACACACTCTCACAGAGTGCACAGCCACCTTAGCATGGTGTCAGTACGTACACATCGGCAACACGCACACACAACTGAAAGTAATTGTTGAGTCTCGGCAGCAGAGAGCCAGGGTGCAACGGAGCACGGAGACAGAGCCTCTTCCCCACCCAGAGGGGCTCTCCAGGCTCTGCTGGCTGGGGCAGTCCCTGTTGGAAGCCTGCAGCAGCATGGGCACAGGGCACCCTGGCAGAGCCAGGCATGCCTGGACCTGGCAGATCTGTGGGAGTGGTGGAGTCAGCAAGCTCTCACCCCACCTCCCCTTTCAAACACTCAGCTGCACGCACCTGCTGGAGCTGCAGGGACATGCTCACTCACCATCGTCCAGGATGACCAGGAGAGGTGCCAGCAGGTCGCACATTCCCTGCACGTAGCCAATCTCAATGTGCTGCCAGATGTAGCTGGGGAGACAGTGGGGAAGACAGGCTGTGAACTCACCACGAGAGGCAGCTCATTAGGAGGGCAGCCCACCCTCCTCTGGGCAGCATGCAGAGTGCCTGCCTGTAGCCCACCTGCCCCTTCCCACTCCATGGACCCAAAGTCTGAAGCCAAAGGGCTCAGGTCCTTAGCACCATGTGCTGTCGTCATGCCCCCCAGGCGTGGATGGCAGTGCCTGGCATCCGGCAGGGGACACAGACCCCATGGATCCCCACCAACATCAATGGTGAACAAGGGCCAAGTAAAACTGAGTGAAGATGTGGCTCTGGGGGAAGGGGACAAGGCTTAGCTCTAGGTCCCCAGTGCACATTGCCTTTAGAAAGGACCTGCCAGCACAGCGATCATTGGTGGCCATGCACTGCAACATCCTTCTAGAAGGGCAGCACGCGGAGCAGCAGCTGGGGTCCTGCATGTGTCTGACAGAGATACAGTTGGTGCAAGATTAGCGGAGACATCTGCATCTTCCTTTCTCCCTAGGGAAGGTGCAGCAGGGGGCGCTCTCTGAGAACACGTTTCACTGCCACACTCTACCCTGCACCCGTTTGCTCCTCGACATGGCCCGGCCACCTTCCCTCAGAGACGGACTGGCAGGGCTCCTTTCAGAGCCCAGCAGTGCTGCTTGCTGCTCGAGCTTGCCTTTCCGTGCAGGAGGGCCATGGAGATCATCATGGAGACAGGAGAGCTGCCTTCTCTTCCCCCTGCTAATTCCACTCTCAGTTTGTTCACTCATTCCAGCAGCTCAGCTAGCCTATAAACGATTCACTGCCCTTCAGCGCTGGGCCATGAAGGGGCATGTTAGCAATTAGATTCGTGGTGCACATCCCAAGTCAATACCACACAATAACGACTCAGCCAAGACCAGGTCAGGAGCAAGTGAAATCAGAATCACACAGTGCCAGGGCAATGTGCGAACAGCAAAGATTTAACACCTTGTTTGTTAAAGGAAAAAAAAGACACATGCCCTGCCCTCCAGTCCCTTCTCTGACCCACTAGACAGCTCATCTGTGCAGACAACTTGCTGCTACTTGCTTCTCCCTCCCTGGATCAAGAGCTCCTGGCGAGCAATTATAGTTTGGCAAAGATCACATGCCATATTTTGCAATAAATCAAAATTCACTACAGAAGGCCACAAAAGCCTATTCGTGGTGTAAAAACATCATTACTTAACAATCCTGTCAGTCTTTTCTGTTAGCTTTCCAGCCGCCTGCTGCACTGGAGGTTTCATCTCAGCCAAAATCTTCCAGGCCTGCCTGTGAGATTCAGTGGCAGCACTAATGAAATAATTTATTTTCCTCATATTGCTGAGCCATGTATTATTAACGGCCTGGGTCTGCTGTGCTGCAGCTGTTTGTGGGCTGTGATAGGCTCTACAATGACCTCCTCAGGAGATGACTAACCAACAGAAGAAATCCACCCAGGTATTTGTCATTCCAGGTACTCCTACAGCCCTCGCCACCTGCTGTAAGAAGCACAAGTAACGAACGTCTGGCATTTTCACTCCTCATTAGCATTTGGATTCTGCAGGGTGAATCATTAAAATTCTACATAGCCAGACAACTGAGTGGACTGAACTCTGTTCCGCAATGGGAGGCTGGATGTGGTGAAACAGTGTCTGCTGCTGTCCTGGGTGACCTTGTTAGCATGTAAGAGCAGAACCCACCTGCTCTGAGCTACACACAAGCCAGCAGGTCCATGTGGGGTTTCAGCAGGGCTGGAACAGTCCTCTCTCTGCCCACAGCTGGCTGCCAGCCGGGTGCCGCTCCCAGGCACTCGTTAACTAGTTAGCCAGTAAATATCATTCAGGAAGGGTTAGGGATGTTAAATTTCGATTAATTAACTAATCGAATAGTCGATGGGATTTCCATCGACTATTCGATTATTCAATAAGAACTTCTGTGTTTGCCTTTGAAATGTACCAAAGTCCCCAGCAGGGGGTCTTGTGCTTTTCAAAGTGGAAGCGCTGCATGGAGTCTGGGGTCAGCAAGGGACTCAGAGTCCTGCACTGGCCCCAGGCTCCATGCGGTGCTTCCTCTTTGAAAGGCACAAGTGTCCCTGCGGGTGACTTTGGTACATTTCAAAGCTGGCACGAGCCTGGGGCCAAAGGGGAGTTCTGCTTTGAAAGGCCCAAGAGCCCCAGCACTGGCCCAGGGCTCCATGCGGCATTCCAACTTTGAAATGAACAGGAGTCCCCAGCTGGGACTCTTGAATATTTCAAAGTTGGCTGCCGCTGTGCCCCTGCCCCCTCCCACAGAGCTGGAGCTAGGGGGAACTGGCTTTTAAGCAGGCTCACTCCAGCATCCCCCTCCTCATCCACCCACCCCGTTGATACCTCTTTGTGATAGAGGCAGCAAGTGGGGGGAAGCGACTAGTCGACTAGAGTGTCGACTAGCTGATAAGTTTTGCCTACTGGTTAGTTGACTAGTTGATTAGTCGCTTACATCCCTAGTAAGGGTAATGCTTATCAGGTAACTGTCAATCTGAGGTGCCAGAGAGGAGCTGACGGTCATTGCCATCAATGGCTATTGCGGGTGGGGTCTCAGAGGCTAGTTTCTTGTAGCCACCAATCCTGTCTTAATACCCTGATCGCAAGCTGCCTGAGGACATGGGAGCCTTCTAGGTGGGAGACACAATAAAACAGAAAACAAATGGGTTTGGAGCACCACTGAAGCCACCCCCCATGGCCTGGGGTTTCCTGTCACATGCACCCCACTTATGAATGGGCCACATGCGAGAGACTCAGCTCCTGCCCCGACTCCCCCCCCCAGCAGTACCTGCACATGACGTTGCGGAGCTTCTCCAGGTTGGCAGGTGTGAAGTACCAGTAATTCCGGTCACACCGCTGCACGTCCTTCTCAATGCGATGCAGGTTCACGGTGTACATGTCTAGGAGCTCTGGCTACAGAAGCAGGGATGGAAATAATACAGATATAACCCCACTCTTACCCCCTCAAAGGAATGCAGCAAGGTCAAATGAATCCCTGGGCCCTGCACTCCAGGTGGGAAGGCATTCCCATCACGCATGCAACTGCAGAACCAACGGGGCAAGTTGCACAGAGCAACCAGCAAATTGCATTCGCAAAGGGATCCACAAATGGCTGGGTCCCAGCCCGAGATGGAAATTCCTAAGTAATACTCACAGAGTAGGTGACCCCCGTTGAGGAGACAGGAGAGACTTGATTGTTAGCCAAGTCAGCCACAACCAGGGAATCCAGCTGTGGGTACAAGCTCTCCATCTCTGGTTCCTCCGACAGATTGTCTTCACTCCCCACCAAGCTGCGCTTTTCAGCTTCACCGCCAGCCCAGCTCCCATCCACCAGAGAACAGCTCCCCACTTCATTGTCTGCTGCAATCCCCGCCGTGCTCTCGCCAACTGGAATAAAGACTTCTAAGCTTCCATTGATGGGACATTCACTTTCTAGGGTGTCCTGACCCTGCAGCTCCTCTTCTGTCAGCCCACCCTCTGACACTGTGTTGGCTGAGCTTGGTGGTTTCTGGGTCTCTGCCCCACTGGCTCTTTCTTGGTGGCCGGCCACCATTTTGCTGCATTCAGCTGCATTATCTTCAGTGCTGAAGCTGTGCTCTGAATAGCCTGACGTGCTGGAGAAATACTGGGAGGAGGGATGGCCCGAGTCAGGGGAACATGTGCCATTGGCAGCAGCCCCATTCAGGATTTTGTGTTGTTTGCCGTTTTCAAGTTGGGCATCCACCTCGGTCTGCTCCACCTCATCAACCGATTCAAACACCTGCGCAAACAATGAGCAGAAAGCCCCCTTAGCCTGGCCAAAAACCCTTTGCATTCACTAACCATCTCTAACTCTGGCTGGCAATGCAATCCCTGGGTTCCCTACTGAGTGAAGTTGCATGAAGCTCTGCTCTGAAAAGTGACACCCTCCTACTCAGTCACTGTGCTACCTGCATACGTTCAAAGGCACCAATGAGCAGCTTTCACTGCTTGCAACTCCTGGAAGTTCTGCAGCACCAAAGCCACTCAAGAGAGAGCTGGGTCCTAGTTTGATTTGCGCATCATCAAATCAGTGATGCACCTGCAACCCCACAAACAACAGACATTGGGGCAGGACAGGTGTGGCCGAAGGCAGAGTCTTTACAGCACATGACAATGAAGCAGCTAGAAAGACTCCAGCATGCCTCACAGATGCAGTCAGGCCTCCTTTGGCTTATGAGTAAGACATGGATCCAAACTCAGGCACCACGTTAAGAACTACTCCAGCTAAAGACAGAGCCCTGAGCTGAGCAAGGGTCACTCCGTAGAGAAGAGCCAACCCATCTTGATTCTGGCTCTGGCTATCCTTTGGGGATGCTCCAATACACTGCCTAGGATGAGCTGAATTTTAATTTGTATGTTGCTGAACTGCAGGGGTCTTCCATGGAGATGGCTAGGTCAGAAAACAAAAACATCCTCATTATCGTATCCACAGAAGTCCCCAGCTTCAAACATACAGTCTTACTCAGTCTAGCCAGAGGCAGGTTCTGGTTCTTTACAGAAAAAGTGACCACAGTCTACACAGTATTTTAATGCAGAAAGGCATGAGCAGGGTTGTAATTTAGGTACACAAATGGCTGCTCACATATTAATCAGCTAAAGCAGTGGTCTGCAACCTTTTCACACCCAAGATCACTTTTTAAATGACAGAACAATCCAAGATCTACCACCCGCCCCTTCTTTGAAGCCCCGCTCCGCCCTCTCTATTCACCTCCTCTCCATCACTTGCTATCCCCAACCCTTATACTGCTGCTTTTTTCCCCAATTCTTCTGTAGGAAGAGGTTTTTCCAACATTTGGCCTGTCTAGACTGGACCAAATGTCAGAAAACCTCCTTCTTTTGGAAGCCCCCTTATTCCTTGTGGAAAGAGGAATATAGGGGTGACCGAAAGATCATGTTTGTTCTTCCACTAAAAGAAGTGGAAGAATAAACACATCCCTGGATGCAGAAGAGTTTTTCTGGGGTATCTCCAGAATCCTGAAAAACTCCTGCAGTCTAGGGGTTGAGACAGGATGTGTAGGCTCTGGGGTGGGAATGAGGGATTTGGGTGTGGGAAGGGGTGAGAGGTGCAAGCTCTGGGAGGAAATCTGGATGCAGGAGAAGGTGGATAAGGGGACACTGGCTCGGGGAGAGGGCGCCAGGCCGGGCAGTGTTGGGGTCAGATGTAGGGTTTTAGGGTACTAAGCAAGCCACAGACTTCTGGATGTGAGGGTTCAGGAATTTGGGTTGGGGTATGTGAGGGGCTCAGGGCAGGGGGTTCCAGTGTATGATAGGCTCAGATGTAGGATCTGGGGGAAAGGGGAGTGCAGGAGTGTTATGATGCTGTGGCCAGATGGGGGCTTGGCCCCAATTTGGGATTTGTTGGCCAGTCTTCATTTTTAAATTAAATATTGTGTTAAACAAAAAGTTTCTGCGTTGTCTTTATTTCTGAGAAGGGCAGCGAACCTGTTTTGAGTCAGGGGTCACTGACCCAAGAAAAGTCAGTTAGGGCCACACAAGTGAGATGCAAAAAAACCCTCCTCCACCCCCCCCAAAGCTACACTAATGTGGCCCCACCTGTGTTGGTGGGAACAGGGGACATAGTACCAGGGAAGGGAGCTAGTGGGTGCTTTGGCAGGGGACAGGGTGCCAGTGGAGACAGAGTTCTGTAGCTTGGGACAGGGGAGTGGGCAGTGGGGAGAGGGAATGGGAGAATGGGGATGGGGAGGCAGTGGAGGCAGAGGGTCCCCTGCATCTGCCCCCTCCCAAAATTATCCACCACCTCACGGGAAGCCAGAGCATGCCTCCTCCAGGTGCAAACTCACTCCCCCCAC